CCCTACACAACCAAGCATTATGGTTGTATAGGGAGAGGTATTAGCAGTAAGCCCTGCTGGCTGAGGATGATTGGAGTCTGGGACTGCTGGGAGTGTCGTCAATCCTCAGTCTGCCTTCTCTCTCTCTTCCCCTCCTCTCTGTATCGAGTCTTCCTGCACGGCTTTCTTTGGTAGCTGGGAGGAAGTGATCTGCTCTCACTTAGTGCCAGCAGCATCTAACAGTGTCCCGGTCGTGCTTTTAATGGGCCTTGGTGCACAGCCGGGCACCTGATCAACAATGCCTATTGAGTGTTCCTAAGTGTGAGGGACACCTAATGGTCCCCAACCATGTATGGGCCCTGGCGCAACCACACTAGCCGGGGCAGGATGCCAGGACAGCACTACAAAGCAGGGACAATCCCGGTCAAACTGGGGTGTCTGGTAACTCTACCTAGCTGTCAATCACACAACTGTTCCTGTTACTTCCTGAATGTTTAGCTTGGTGAACAGGCAATTGTCCAGAAGACCTGCCTTGCAAAGTCTTCTCATGGAGCTGCTTCGGAAGGCTGTGATTAGATCATTGGGCAGGCATATAAAGTCTAAGCTGGAAAAGAAGGGGAGGGCTTGCAAAAAGTTGCTAACAAGAAATATACAGCTTTTGCAAGTTGATTTTAAAAATGCTCCCTGTGAAAACTATTGCATTAACTTAAGTGTAGATAGATAGAAATAGATAGATAGAAATAGATAGATAGATGTTTTCTGTATGTGCTGAATTGTCTCAGAGGCTGTTGGCAAGATCCAAGATGCAGAAACTAATCAAAAATTACAAGTATATATGGCGCTAGCTTTAAAATTCGCACTATCCTTTTTTAAATAAATAGCAGCACCTTATCAGTGTAATCAGCTCTAGTCACGCTAAATATAAGATATCAAACAAAAAATAAAGTGTGCTGTGCCTCTAAAATCGTGCCATCAAATTTGTGTGCAAAAATTGTTAAACAGCAAAAAAAGTGCTGATTCGGTATTGTGCAAATAACACATCAACTTGTGCAATAATTTAAAGTGCAATTTCCATTCACATAACAGTGAAAAATGTGTTTAAAGTGTTTACTGTGTCAATACACTGTAAGTATTTAAAAATGTTATACTTGCAACATATGGAGGTCAACATGAAAAAGAAGAACATTAACATATAGTGTAATATTGCATAGACGCCAGATATAAGAAGAACCAGATATGTATATATCACTCACAAACACAGAGCAGGTAAAAGACTGCTCAGGCTATATGCGCTTTGAGTATATATCTGGCTTTATCTGCAAACATACGATGGACAGCCAAGTCTCACCAGTCCCTCGGATGACACACACAGATACACACTGACATACACAGACACACACATAATGACAGACAGATACACACACATAATGACACAGACAGATACACACACATACTGACACGGATACACATATATACAGACACATACACACTGACACAAATACACATACTGACACAGATATACACAAAGATACAAACATAAGTCATTATTTTCATACTTTTACCACCCTCTTGTTTCCATACCCTTTGAGTGCAGACAGGTAGCTTCTCTGAGGTCCAGTAAGCACTGCTGGCTGAGGATGATTGGAGTCGGGGACTGCTGGAAGTGTGGTCAATCCTCAGTCTGCTTCTCTCTCTCTTCCCCTCCTCTCTGCATCGAGTCCTTCCTGCACGGCTTTCTTTGGTAGCTTCTTTGGGAGGAAGTGATCTGCTCTCACTTAGTGCCAGCAGCATCTAACAGTGTCCCAGTCGTGCTTTTAATGGGCTTTGGTGCACAGCCGGGCACCTGATCAAAAATGCCTATTGAGTGTTCCTAAGTGTGAGGGACACCTAATGATCCCCAACCGTGTATGGGCCCTGGCGCAATCACAATACATAAACATATAGTGTTATATTGCATAGACACCAGATATAAGAAGAACCAGATATGTATATATCACTCACAAACATAGAGCAGGTAAAAGACTGCTCAGGCTATGCGCTTTGAGTATATATCTGGCTTTATCTGCAAACATACGATGGACAGCCAAGTCTCACCAGTCCCTCGGATGAACTTGCATAAAAGTCCTCAGTAATACCAGTTGCTGGCACTTCTGGATTCTGGGGCTGTAGCGTTCGTACTGGTGGGCGGAGTCTAATGACGTACTCAATTGCGTGTTTGCGTAACACTCCTGGCTTTCTTAGATCACGTCCCTCGGTCTGTTCCATCACTATTTAAGGCCACCCAGTGGGCTACTTCACTTGAAAGTCCAATACTCAAACATTCTTATTGGTTGTAATGTCCAAAATATGGGAGTTTTGTCAGTACCGCCCTCCCATTGGCTAGCGAGATTTTGTTGTTGAGTCAGATCCAAGATGCAGACTGAGCAAAGTAGCCTCTGAGACAATCCAGCAAATAGTAGCCAGATGCAAGATGTTAGCATTAAGAGCATACACGCAGAGACACGGAGTTGTGGAGAGACACAACCAAATTGCTGGGATTGTGTACCGAAACATCTGCTCAGAATATGGTCTGGACCTGCCTAAGTCCAAATGGGAAATTCCACAAAGGGTAGTAGAGAATGACAGGGCTAAGAATCTATGGGACTTCTAGATACAGACAGACAAGCAAATACTTTTTGTAGTATCTGTGGAACTGCACTCACTCCCATCAATCTGAGCGAGGGTGCTTGATGTACCGGAACCAAACACCAGATTCCCAATGTAGTAGAGTAAAATGAAAGAGGTCCAGGCACTCCTTGGTTCAAGAGAGGCACTTTATTGGGGTCGAAAACAAAGACCCTTGGGTCGAAACGTTGCTGCTGTGGTTCCAATAAAGTGCCTGTTTTGAACCAAGGAGTGCCTGGACCTCTTTCATTTTACTCTATAGACAAGCAAATACTGGCCAACCAACCTGACATTGTGGTGGTTAACAAGCACCAGAAGATTGAAGTTGTGGTGGATGTGGTAATACCCAGTGACTATAACATCAGGAAAAAGGAACATGAGAAGATGGACAAAGACCAAAGACTGAAAGAAGAAGTAGAAATTATGTGGAAAGTGAAAGCAGTAGTAGTCCCACTTTTGATAGAAGCACTCGGGGCTGTGACTCCTAGGTTGGGGGAGTTGCTTCAACAGATTCTAAGTAGAACATCTGAGCTCCCAAGCCCCTGGAAGAGGACCAGAGAATGAGGTTTATATACCACCCAGGAGGGGTATTTATATATATATGAATATTGAAAAGGCTTGCACTCACAGTCTTTTTTCTTTTAAAAAGTTCCTTTATTTCATTCCTTTAAAATGAAATAAAGGAACTTTTTAAAAGAAAAAAGACCGTGAGTGCAAGCCTTTTCAATATTCATATGTTAAAGGACCACTATAGTGCCAGGAAAACAAACTCGTTTTCCTGGCACTATAGTGCCCTGAGGGGGCCCCCACCCTCAGGGTCCCACTCTCGTGGCGCTGAAGGGGGAGGAAGGGGTTAAACCCTTACCTTTTTTCCAGCACCGGGCTCCCTCTGCGCTGGGACTCTCCTCCCTCTTCCGACGTCACCGGCTGAATGCGCATGCGCAGCATTCTCAATGCTTTCCTATGGACGCTGGTGTCTTCTCACTGTGAAAATCACAGTGAGAGCGCGGAAGCGCCTCTAGCGGCTGTCAATGAGACAGCCACTAGAGGCTAGATTAACCCATAGGTAAACATAGCAGTTTCCCTGAAACTGCTATGTTTATAGCAAAAAGGGTTAAACATAGCTGGACCTGGCACCCAGACCACTTCATTAAGCTGAAGTGGTCTGGGTGCCTATAGTGGTCCTTTAATTTATGGCATTGGCTAAAGTGCACACTGCATTTTGAAATTTAAAGTGTGTGTGCAAATACACAGAGAGACATTATATATATATATATATATATATATATATATATATATATATATATATATATATATATATATCTCATTGGAGTGTTCCTTGAATTTTCCAGAAAGTATCAGATCTTTCACAGACTTTACAAGAGTTTATCTCTTGTAATTGAATTGCATTGCTTTCATTAAAATGTAGTTATATAACTGTTATTTAATCACAAGAGATAATTATAGTGTAACTAAAAAAAAAAATACTTAAAATTTAGATTTAAAAAAATAGCACTCATCATGGCTAATTATATTTTAAATTATAAATATTAGATTGTGTTATACAAAGAAGATGTCACAGTTCTGCTTGTAATATTTATGCACAGAGAAGCTACTATAACATTTGGTTCTCCACTTTTTGTTCTCCAAAATGTTTGTGTAGTTTTGTAATAGACAATAAAACCCTTAGGTCATTTGAAACGACCTGCAAGGGCATCACATCTTCATTTCTTCATTTATTGGTTTGTTTCCATTTTTTTGTCTGCTTTCATTGTGTACTTTGAAGTGGTACAATGGCTAACCCCTGGTATGGTAAGTTCCCACCCATTGTTAGCAATATGATGTTTACATCTGCTGTCAGCTTCTCTACCATCTACCAGCCACTGAACATTCCTGGTATTTAGAGACACAAAAAGACTGAGAGAAGGCTACAAATTATACCCAACGTGCAGAATAGAGCATTGACCCCAATTGTTATTATAATAATACACCATGTGATATATAGTTCACATTGACCTCCAATTTAAGGAGGTTTGTTGTCTTCCAGACAGTCAAACAAGTCTCAAAATAAAAATTAGCATTAGAATATCAGACATTTTATTAAATAATAAATTATTTTTTATTGAAAAGGTTTTTATCGTGATACATAACAGGAAAGCAATAACAAGCAGGTCTTCGCAGGACCTGATAACAAGACAAATAAGATCAGATACGCCAGTCTCAAACAGCTCTGGTCAGATGGATTTAAGGATATGGAGAAATGTACATGGCCACGCTCAGTGATGAGTTCAATACTCAGCTGAACCTCCATTAAGAATACGTTTCCCAAAACTATGTTTATGAATCTGTCTGAGACTGTCCAGTCTTAGTATGTCATATCATAAAGGTGCATTTAAGACATAATCAGGTAATAAAATTATAACCTAAAATAGGTTGAATGGTTACGGTAAAGGGGATTTCATCGTCCTGGGCTAAGGAAAGTGGAAGTGTTTCTGGGACCTGTTAACCATTCAGGTAAATGGGATTCACAGGAATCTTTGAAAGTAATCAGTGTTAGTCCTGAGGAGCCTGTGTGACCAGATCGATGTGTAAACAGTCAATCTGTCTGTATCCACATGGTGAAGCTCTGCTGTAAAACAGAGTTCCCCCATCTGGGTGAACCATAGTTGCATGGAGGGGCCAACATCAGGCATTAAACAGACCGTTCACTGGTTTTCTAGCTCACAACATTGTCCACTGCCAGCTCTTCCATAGAGCGAAGCTTCTATATGCAATGGATCCATAAAGTAAGAGGAGTAACTCTTTTTCCAAAAAAGGGGTATTAATAGTCATGGGTCAAAGGGTATTATGTTTTAACCAAGGTACCACTGTACAGACATTTTGCATATGCGAAGAAGCATGCCCACCTGGAAATTCCAGGACTGATTGTCAATGGAAGACTCAATAACATGCAAAAGCTGTGGAGTCTTGTACCAGAAGGAGAGTATCTTATAGGCATACTCCTGGAACCTACTAGAAATCGAACAGTGTTGGGTTATGTCGTAATTTTTGCCATTGTTTTGGGGTAAAGTTTCTACCCAGAGCCTACTCCCATTTCCTCATAAAGTTAGGTGGGGGTGCCCTCATTTGACACTGAATGGTGGCATACAGGACAGCTACAGCATGCTCACATGGTTCAGGATCAATACAAATGCTCTCAAATGATGTAAGAAGTGGGCGTTGAGGGATAGAGTTAGAGATCTCCAGGGGATGCCTGTACCGGAATTGCCTAATGAAATTCAGATTTGTTCCACCCAATAGTGCTGCTATGGACTGTACTTTCCCATCCTGAACCATGTGTCTGATCTTAGAGGCTCGTAAGAGAGGGGTAGGGCATGCCAGAGGTGGAATTTTGAGTCAGTTTCACTTCTCTGGCCTCAATTTGAAATTCACTTTGAATTCTCGCTTTAGTAAATAGCCCTGTCTGTGCCCAGCTCTCTCACATGTCCTGTACTTACACTTGACATCACCCAAGCCCAGCATCAGTACAGAGCTGCTGGGAACAAGGCAACAGTAGTACAAATAGATCCTAGCAGTAAACCACTGGTCCATAAGGGAGGCTTTGTGGACCTCACTGTATAAAAAATAACAACATTAAATAAAAATTGTGTAATTATGTGTAAGTGTGTATATGTGTCCATGTGTGCTTGTGCAGGAGTCTGTGTTCATGTATTGCAATGTGTGTGTCTGCTTGTGTATATGATTGTATGTAAGTTATGAGTGAGTTAGTGTGTCCATGTGCGCTTGTATATGAGTCTTTGGGCATTTATTTCAATGTGTGTGTGTGTTTATATGAATATGTGTAAGTTCTGAATGAGTGTGTGTGTGTATGTGTCCATGTGTGCTTGGCGTTTGTGTATGTGTCTGTGTGTATGTATTTCAAGGTGTGTGTATATAAATATCAGCGTGTGAATATGAATGTGAGTATGTACGTGTCATTTCCCTAAAAGGGCATTGAGGGTGGGGTGCGACACAAAAATAAGTGTGCCAATATAGTTTTCCGCCCCAGGTACTATGTAGCCTAGGCACACCTCTCTTCTTATTATTAGTAATATTTCTAAAATGCTATACTTTATTTTGCCGTGGCAGAGAAAATTGGTTTGAAAAAGGGAATTTTACAAATGTAGCAGATGTGAAACTGTTGTATCTTGAAAAGGAATTCCATCACCTAAGGCAGAGAAAGAAAAAAAAAAAAGTTAACCCATAAACAACCACATCCTGGAGTGCATTACCTATCTGTTGAAAAGTGACTCTAAACCTTTTTTGGGCGGGGGGTTAACAATGTGTAAAAAAAGCTATTATGAATGTTACTAAACTCACAGCTGGCTCTGGAGTTATGTTACCACAATTTAAACATGTTTTATTTTTTACTGATGGGTGTAATATATTAGGTTAATAGTATTTTGTGTTAAACAGAGCTTACACTCTAGTATAAGCATCTAAGCAGTTCATTGAGAATTTGGAAGCTTATTACTATATTCAATGGGTAGGGTACGAAAAATATAGTGTGACACGTATGAGAATATAGGATCTTGCTCCACAGTGATTGCACTCGAATATACTAAAAAATATCCATGCATTAGAGAGTGGGTATCCTGTCTTGAAACAATGTGCCAGGTAGAGTTAATGACACAATACAAAAATAGACATTACCAGTGAAGGAAGACAATTATGGCATTGAGAATTTATACTTCAAATGGACAATCCATTGGTTTATTTAGTTTTATTTAAAATTTAGTATATGTTTTCTTTGGGGTATATTAAGAAAAGAAAAAACAGTTTGCAAAAGCTGCAGACCCGCTGTCTGCAGCTTTTGCAAGCACTCCCCTCTCTCGCCAGCGCATGCTTTCAATTTGTATTGGGAATACATCAATCAGAGAAGAAGCAAAGAGATCAATACAGAAGGAAAGGAAAGTGTGTTGCAGAGCTTACATTCTATGACGGTTACAGGTGCAGAATATGTCATTCAGAAATCTGATATAAAGCTTTTTTTTTTTTTTTAAATATTCACACATGAGATATGAGTTGAATTAAGGTTCTGATAACACTCCGAGATCTGACACTGGCACAAATCCAGAGGTTGGGAGTAGAGAGCAATCATTCATCATGCTGTTTGACTGCAGCTGACAAAAAGGGTTCCAACTATCTACTCAAACACGTAAGATCGTAAAAGAAGTTTATAGAAAAATAGTATATAAAAGAGGATAATCTTTATGATATAATTTAGGAAGAATAAAAGTCAACTATCAGTTCAGAGTAAAGAGGGATGAAACAAATATTACACAATATTTTGATACGACCCATGCAGTGCAGAACAGTGGTAGTAGATCAAGGTACCATTTAGAGAACCAGGGTGGTCCCCACTCCTTCTTCATTTTCAATAAACCAGCTCTGGTGTAAAATCAATGAGGTTGTTGCAACATATCCACTTTAGAAGTGTCAACTTTAAACTATTGACAAAAAAACCCATACATCATTATATCAATGCTGTAATGTTGCCAGACTAAAACTAATGTGGCGACATTATAGAACTGTTTATAATGCTGAATGTCATTAGGGTACACTGTACTGTGGGGCTAGAAATTACAGTCAACAGCATCTTGATGGCTCCGCCATAACAACACGCTGCCTTAAAATCAAGTTTTACTTAGGCTAAGTACCCACATATTTCTGACCTTCCTCAACCATAACCTTACCCTGAATTTCTCCCTAGCCAGTGTTTACAGCGCCATTATAAACTACTCTGTAATAACACTGCGCCATTATGGCCCTTTATTTGAATGCTTATACCTTATTAACAAGAACTGATGCAGGTCAAATGAGCCCTGCATGACAGTGTCTTGGGACATCTGCCATAAACCATAATAAGCCATAATACGACAAAAGTTACAAAAAGGTGAGACGACTGCTAGTGTCAAATAATGCCATCTCTTGGTTCTTGACTCTTTGGACATATGATTTATTATGATTTGTTTTCTATTATACAGTTGCGTACCCTCTATATGATTAATTTTCTCATTGTAAAACTACACTAGGCTAAATTAATATCATTGAAGGCAAGCTGTAGAGTTTAACATTTACAGTATCAGGCAGCACTACTAAAAACCCTCTGGCACTTTAAATCGTTAAAAGTGCTCCTCAGCTTGCTTATGAAGATCTTTATTATTCAAGTTTATTATTTATGTATGTTTGAGTTTTACAGATCGAGTACACTCAAAGCACTCAGTCAAGTAACAACCCAGGCAAAATAATATCTGCAAATATCTCACCTGTTGGCCCTGGATGCCTTAGGGTCCCTGTGAAGGTTGGAATCCTTGCTATGTTCAGAGGGCTTTTAAGGCCTGCCATACCTTGTTCCTGGATGAAGTATGATGTATAGAAAGTATATTATAAGAGTAGGTGTGAGCAAGGAGGGGTGGAGGTGTGGGGAGCCATTCAGGGTTTCCAAAGTAAAAGAACCCTTCTGTACAATTCTTCTCTTAGAAACAAATGATTTAGCCCTGCACCTGTGTGTCTTGCGAGATAGATGCTTTAGGACCTAGTAAGGGCTGAGAGATAACAGATCATTCCATCAATAGATGATGTCTCTGGCATGTACAGTACAACCACATGAGTAAATTCTTCTATATATCACATGTTTTAAACCGCTTCAAGATACTCCTAATGTCCTGGATTTTTTCATTACATGCTTATACTTAGATAAGAGGATTATTAATAGCATTACCACTAAGGGCATTGCATGCCATTAACAATGTTTGTACATAAAAGATGAAATTTTAGTCATGACATGCACATCTATGAAGTATATCAGAAAACGTTATTTTATCACAAGACACGGACAATGTGCCACATGCTCTATATTTGCATGAATGTTGCGTGTAGAGAGACATGGCGATACAATTTGACTGTCCCTGTGGAGACATAACTTCGGTTTAATAAGCTTTCCAAATTATTCAATACTGCTACAAAACTTTCCAAATGATTTATTTACAAATTGCCATAAACGTTAATGGTTACTTTTGTAGATTAATTAATTGGGAAGGTTTTTTTTTTAGCAGTATTTGGAAAGCTTAAAGGATCACTAAAGGGTCAGGAACACAAACATGTATTCCTGATCCGATAGAAAAAACCTACCATTTAGGAGGCCCCCCACCACCAAAGCCCCCTTAGAATGGGTTAAAACTCACCTTATTTTCAGCTCTCAATGGGTCGGCCGGCGCTGGCCCCGCCCCCTTGGTGACATCATCAAAATTGCCAATTTTTAGCCAATCCAATGCTTTTCATTGGATTGACTAAAATCATCAAGGGGCATGCCTTTTCTCTGAGTTTACATGTAAATGCCTGAAGGGAGCTATTATACTCACCAAAACAACTACATTAAGCTGTAGTTGTTCTGGTGACAATAGTGTCGAGGCCTTGGTTCCTTAGCCTCCTGACATTGACATTGTTTAAATCACTGCATTTCAGGAAATGGGGCAGAGCAAGATAAACAGGACCCCACTGCCAGCTGTAACTCATTCTTCCCTATGATTTGAACTTTGCAGAAAATAAATGATGGTCCAGGCACTCCAGGTAAATGCATAGTGAGCAGGCTTATTGGAGCAGATGAAAGCAAAGTTTTGGCCCACACCAGGTCTTAAGTCAAGCTGTGGACCGAAACGTTGCTTTCATCTGCTCCTATAAACCTTCTCATTTTGGATTTACCTTGCGTGCCTAGACCAGGGATTCCCAATAATTTTTTCCCATGGAACCCTTTGACATAGTGTATCAACATCGTGGAACCCACGCTTCCTCCCCCCCAAAAAACAAACTATTTTGCGCTGTTGCGTAAACCTTCCGATTAGGAGAGCATAATGTCTTATTGTTAGCAATTTATTTTTTTTACTATAGATACACACTAATTTCTACATATAGTAAACAGACTGCAGGTGTGTTTTTGTGTGTAGAGTTGGTGTTTGTATGAAATTTTATTGTTTTAATACAGGAATGTGTTTTGATGGAATGTTAGTATTTGTGTGCAGAGGTGTATTTGGCTGTAGTGTTGGATTTTAAATGTGGATGTACATTTGTGTGTAGTATTGGTGTTTGAGTGTTTTTATATAATTGTGAAATTAGAATTCAGGGGTGTCTTTTTATGTCATGTTTGTGTTTGCAGGAGTGTGTGTTGTGTTGGTGTTTGATTGCTGGGATGTCTGAACATGTACAGACACAAACCGTCACATACAAACACAGATACACACTGGCACATACACACAGACATACACACTAGCACACAGATGCACACAGATACACACAGACATACACACACACAGTCACACAGATACACACACTGGTACAAAGATACACACACTGACACACAGATACACACACCTTGACACACAGTCAAGGTGTGTGTATCTGTGTGTCAGTATGTATCTGACAATGTGTGTATCTGTGTGTGTGTGCCAGTATGCATCTGTGTGTCAAGTTGTGTATATCTGTGTGTATGTGCCAGTGTGTGTGTGTGTATGTGACAATGTGTATATCATTGTACCAGTGTGTGTATCTGTGTGCGAAGGTGTGTATATCTGTCAGTATGTGTATATGTGTGTTAGTGTTTTTGTAAGTGTGTGAATCTATGTGCCTGTGTGTGTATCTGTGTGTCAGATGCATACACACTGACACACAGATACACACACTGGCACATACAAACACAGATACACCGGCACATAGTGGCACACACACTAGCACAGTGATGGCTAACCTTGACACCATAAATTGTTTCTGAACCACATTTTACATGATGCTCGAGCATCATGGGAAATGTAGTCCAGAAACAATTTATGGTGTCAAGGTTAGCCATCACTGCACTAGCACAATTATACACACATACACACACACACACACACACACACACTGACAGCTACTCTGACACAAAGTTGCACACTAGCATATACACACACAGACACAGATATACAATGACACACACCTTGACACACAGATACACAAACTGGCACATACACACACAGATTCACAGACATTGGCAAATACACCTACTGACACAGGTACACACACACACACATAGACACACACACATATGTGCAAATTTGCTGTTCACTTACCTTTTTTTCTGCATGAGGGTCTTCAGTGCTGCTGGCTGAGCCTGGTATGCTGCTCAGTCCCTGCTGTTCCCTCGCTCCCTCCAGCCAACACAATTTGTCTTGAAGGAAACTCCCAGCATTCCATACAACAGGGGTCCGGTCGCGGTCTTAGATGGTCGCTGCGCCTGACGTATCCCTGTTTTGCGATACCCATCAGGTGGTCCTAAATGCTTGGGCCACCCGACGGGAAAATATAACATTGTAAGGATTGTCCAACCTCAGGCCCGGTTGCATCCTGGGGTCCAGGAGAGTATGGTATCCTTTACGATAATTATATGGTTTGAACTTGGCATGATTAAGACAATAAAAAAAAATATGGTGTACATCCTGAGATACCCCTGGACAGAAAAATATGTCCATTCACCTCAAGGGTCTGCCAATTTATTCTACGCTTTAGAAACAACAGCGTTCTGAGTTTTGCAAAAATCATTTTCTCTGCTCTGAACAGCTGGCACTTACTACCCGAATAACTTTGTAGCCGCTTTCCTGTTAGTATTTAAGTTCATACTTTCAATTCTGATGATGGCAGCCAAGAAGGCAGATTGGGGGTGGAGCCAGCACCGGCGGTCTTGCGCGGTGCCAGGGGTGCTTAATACTTAGTTTAACATTATAGGGTCAGCAATACACATTTTTGTTCCTGACCCTATAGTGTTCTTTTAACTGTTCAAAATAAGGATCTGTATAATAGTATCATTTAACTAGTCCAAGTTACTAAGTATTACATATTTTTTATCGCTGCCCTCTCTCTTCCTTTTCTCTTTTCCCTGTCCTCCTCTGTGCTACTGGCCTTTTTCCCCTATTCCGTGTTACTGTCCCCTTTCCTAGTTCTTGCTGATACTTCCCGTCTGCATTTTTCATTTTAACGTTTACATTGTTGAAAAAAGTTTGCACTAGGGGACCTGTAATAAAAGTCTGACAGATTTACTGTTGGAACACGGCAAGACTGGACTATGGGAAAATATACTGAGGCTGTAAACATTTTATAGAGACAAAATATCTGTGGCAAATCTGAGAGAAAATGTGAAGCCCATGAACATGCTGTGACTTGGACAAAGTAGCAGTTTTCCTAAAGAATGTTCATTATCAGCAAAACTCTATCATTATACAGTGCAGGATGTCCATAGTCTCTGCCGAGATGCTCATTATCATTATGCATTATGCATCTTAAACAAGGGCTGGGGTTTAGTAGAGGGGGTGCTGGGATTTAGTATAGAGGGGGACTGTGATTTAGTACAGGGGGGACTTTGATTTAGTATATTGGGGGACTGTGATTTAGTACAGCTTGGGGGACTGTGATTTAGTATAGAGGGGAGACTGTGATTTAGTATAGAGGGGGACTTTGATTTAGTATAAAGGGGGGACTTTGATTTAGTATAGAGGGGGGACTGGGATTTAGTATAGAGGGGACTGGGATTTAGTACAGGGGGACTGGGATTTAGTGGGGGGACTGTGATTTAGTACAGTGGGGGGGACTGGGATTTAGTATAGAGGGGGGGAGGGATTTAGTATAGAGGGGGGACTTTGATTTAGTATAGAAGGGGAGACTGGGATTTAGTATCGAGGGGAGAATGGGATTTAGTATAGAAGGGGAGACTGGGATTTAGTATAGATGGGGAGACTGGGATTTAGTATGGGGAGACTGGGATTTAGTATGGGGAGACTGGGATTTAGTATAGAGGGAGACTGGGATTTAGTATAGAGAGGGGGACTGGAATTTAGTATAGAGGGGGAGACTGGGATTTAGTACAGAGGGGGAGACTGGGATTTAGTACAGATGGGGGTACTGGGATTTAGTATAGAGGAGGGACTGGGATTTAGTATGGGGGGGAGACTGGGATTTAGTACAGAGGGGGAGACTGGGATTTAGTATAGAGTGGGGGACTGGGATTTAGTACAGAGGGGGAGAATGGGATTTAGTACAGATGGGGGTACTGGGATTTAGTATAGAGGAGGGACTGGGATTTAGTATAGAGGGGGAGACTGGGATTTAGTACAGAGGGGGAGACTGGGATTTAGTACAGAGGGGGAGGGACTGGAATTTAGTATAGAGTGGGGGACTGGGATTTAGTACAGAGGGGGAGATTGGGATTTAGTATAGAGGGGGAGACTGGGATTTAGAACAGAGGGGGAGACTGGGATTTAGTATGGGGGGGGGACTGTGATTTAGTATAGAGGAGGAGACTGGGATTCAGTACAGAGGGGGGGACTGGGACCTCGGCGCTGGTGACCTCTCCTCCCCCACCAACGTCAGCAGAGCCGAATGCGCATGCGCAGCAAGTGCCACGCGCGCATTCAAGCTGTCAATAGGAAAGCATTTCTCAATGCTTTCCTATGGATGCTCTGCGCGATGGAGGCATAATATGCCTCCAGCGTCGCAGACGCGCCTCTAGTAGCTGTCCGGAAAACAACCACTAGAGGCTGGCTTAACCCTGCAATGTAAACATAGCAGTTTCTCTGCTATATGTCTATATGTCCCCACTCAGTGCACAAACAGCTAATACCTTACGTCCTTCTTTGAATTCTTACCAATTCAATTCTTCCATATTAGGATAAGATTGGCTGATTTATATTAGTTTGAGCAATGGGTTTCAGATGTGGTTATTAAATGTATGCTTACTTTTCTGACGAGCAAGTCCGCTGTGTCCCTGCTCGTTGTCAGATCAATATATTCAGTAATATTTTCTCTGAAACTGCTATGTTTGCATCTGCAGGATTAAAACCTGAGGGACCTGGCAACCAGACCATTTCATTGAGCTGAAGTGGTCTGAGTGACTATAGTGTCCCTTTAAAATGTATTTTTAGATACACAGAACTATTATATATTGTAGAATATTCATTTACATTGAGCTCATTTGGTCCCTCCTCACCTACACTAATATGTTTTGTCAGAATTAACTGTTTGTCTTGGTTTATCTGATGTACAGTGCTGGGGAATATGTTGGCGCTATATGCTGCCCAGACCTAATGACTGCTACCCAGTTGCTAGTATTTTATTACAGTGAGCTTGCTGCTTCGCAGACATGTCCCCACTCAGTGCACAAAAAGCTAATACCTTACGTCCTTCTTTGAATTCTTACCAATTAAATTCTTCCATATTAGGATAAGATTGGCTGATTTATATTAGTTTGAGCAATGGGTTTCAGATGTGGTTATTAAACATATGCTTACTTTTCTGACGAGCAAGTCCGCTGTGTCCCTGCTCGTTGTCAGATCAATATATTCAGTAATATTTTCTCTGAAACTGCTATGTTTGCATCTGCAGGATTAAAACCTGAGGGACCTGGCAACCAGACCATTTCATTGAGCTGAAGTGGTCTGAGTGACTATAGTGTCCCTTTAAAATGTATTTTTAGATACACAGAACTATTATATATTGTAGAATATTCATTTACATTGAGCTCATTTGGTCCCTCCTCACCTACACTAATATGTTTTGTCAGAATTAACTGTTTGTCTTGGTTTATCTGATGTACAGTGCTGGGGAATATGTTGGCGCTATATGCTGCCCAGACCTAATGACTGCTACCCAGTTGCTAGTATTTTATTACAGTGAGCTTGCTGCTTCGCAGACATGTCCCCACTCAGTGCACAAAAAGCTAATACCTTACGTCCTTCTTTGAATTCTTACCAATTAAATTCTTCCATATTAGGATAAGATTGGCTGATTTATATTAGTTTGAGCAATGGGTTTCAGATGTGGTTATTAAACATATGCTTACTTTTCTGACCAGCAAGTCTGCTGTGTCCCTGCTCGTTGTCAGATCAATATATTCAGTAATATTTTGTTACCTATGGGTGTGTGTAAAATCGCCTAGTGTGGACACAGCCAGTAAAAAGCTGCAGCTTTATCATAGTGAGTGCAGTTCTTTGATCTTTAGAGTAGTGAAGGCTTACCCTGTATATCCTGCCTGTTTTGTTTTTGTGACCTA